TGTGGTGTGTGGTTGGGTGTGAGCGTGGGGTGTGGCTGGGCATGTGTGGCATGCAACTGGGTGTGTGTATGGCATGTGCCACGTGGCTGGGTGCGTGGTGCGTGGTTGGGTGGGTGTTTGGGTATGTGTATGGCTGGGTGTGTGTCAGGTGTGGGGGTCGCATGGGGCCAGACACAGAGCAGTGGGTGGGGGGAAGGGGTGCGCTCAGCCGGACGTGAGTGGCGGAAGCACGGGGCACTGGGTGGTGGCACTCCGCCCCCGCTGCCTGCCCATCATTCTTGACGGCCAGTTTGCTAGTCACAAATAAGAGCTGCATTACATGGGCAACACAACCAATAACACAGAAGTTGTGTATACTCATTCATTAAGAAAACATAAGCAGATTTCATATTAGCAGCAGTCAGTCATGAATAAAATAATCTTCTGTGCATCCAGTTCATTGATCATATTTTTAAACTGATCAGCAATATATCAGGCTGTATGGGTGATGCTCAGTTGTCCGCTGGAATAAATAAAACACTGATTTTGTAGTTGCTACCATGAAGTTGATGGATACCCATTGTGAATATTGCTTTATGCATCTCTCTTCTTCGTATCTTCCACTTCAGCATTCAGAAACTTCCTGGAAGCCCCTTTCCTACTCAAAACTTTTAAAATTAGATGCAATAAAAAAAACAACTCTGGCACACAAAGTTTTTCAGCTCTATGAAATGGTGTAGTGCTAATATAAATACCTCAAACCATCAATCCAAAAAAGTGAATACTAACTTGATAAGCATCTGAAGATTTTCCTGGAGTTAGGAGTTCTTGATACTTAAGCACATGGAGTAACAAAATTGCCGTTGGACAATGTAGGAATAGAGCTAGCTTTATTTTCACTATCACACAATTTATCACATATTAAAATAATCTGTGCTTCTTGAAGATGCTGCTGCTGAAGATGAAGTAGAAGGCGAATGAGAAGGAAAAAACACAAGTTTTGATTCAGACCAGTGTGCTTTTTCTTGCTATTTGACTGCAAGACTGTATTTTCTTCCATACATCGTGCCTAGAATAAGATACATATCTTGTTTCTGAAAAGCAGAAGGAGGGGAGAAAAGGATTTTTCCTTGGAGTAAGTAACAGAGCAGGAGCAGCTACAGAGCTGAGCCTGCTCATTGTTTTGCTCCCTGTAGATGGCATGGTTTTGCCCAGTAACCAGTAGAAATTGCTTTTATTGTCTTTCCTTGCATATAATGTACACTCCAATTTCCAGCAACTGTTTTTTTGGGAAAAGGGTGGTATGTATAAAAGAAAATACAGTAATCTATCATTTACAATAGCTGGACATCTAGCACAAGAATTAATTACTTGTTTCTCCATTCTGCATGTGTCACCTGCCCAGAAGAACAGAACTTGTACTGAGCTTCAACAGTACCTTTGTAAAAACAAATGATTATGGCTTTCCTCAAATATAGCCTTGCAGTATCTCTTGTATGTAATTCAATGAATATCCTTCAGTTCTGTTTCTAACACCTGCTAACCCCTAGAAAACTCTGATTCTTCCCAGAAGCACTGCAGAGCAGACTGCCAAATCACCTGGAGGGGGTACGTGCTTCCTCCCCACAGCAAGTACAAGGGGGCAATTGTGGGCACTTGTAATCTGTGCCACTGTAATGACTGCTTGTGTGGGTGTTCCTATTCCTGCTGGCTTTAGTTCCTCCCTTAGCACACAGCAGCTCATTTTGTAGCCACATGAAATCCCAGGACTTTCTGATAAATCTCCTCCTGGTCTTGGCCAAGCTGTTCATTTACCAAACCAGGCAGGAGATGCTAGTTGGACAGGACCCAGGTTACAGCACAGCTCTCTTCCCTTCCCCTA